AATCCCATATTAATTTCCCATCCCATTCCTTCTAAAGGATTAGGGATCCCATCCCATCTAGATAAGAATGGGAAATCCCATGGGAATCCCAAAATGGGATGGGAAATTAATATGGGATACCCATTTCCCAATGGGAAGGGATTTCCCATGGGATTTCCCTTCCCTACGGCCAGCCTAACTTTATCTACTTTATTAATAACTTTCTCTTAGTTTATCTAGATATATATATCTAACTATATAAGAAATACTTATAACTTAGATTAACTTCTATTAAATAGTTCTAGTAATCTAATCTTAATAGACTTAGCTATAAATTAACCTTCTAATTAATAGATATACTCCTAGAGCTATTTAATCTAATCTCTTAGATCTTCTACTATAATCTAAGGCTATATAGCTGCTTGCTACTATGCTCTGGCCCTTCTAATATTTAAGCTAGTTAGGGTTTATAGTATATTTCCTGCTATAATATTTAATATTAAGAGTTAGTTAAACTGCCTAAAGTAATTTATACTAGGCTGGCCGTAGGGAAGGGAAATCCCATGGGAAATCCCTTCCCTTTGGGAAATGGGTATCCCATATTAATTTCCCATCCCATTTTGGGATTCCCATGGGAATTCCCATTCTTATCTAGTGGGATGGGACTCCCATATCCTATAGTAAATTTGGGATGGGAAACTAATATAGGACTCCCATATTAATTAGGGAATCCCATTTTTTTTAGGGATTGGGATGGGACTCCCATATATTAATATTAGAATGGGAAGGGAAATCCCAAACTCTAATTAAACCTTATTTTATAGGGAATATATACTATTTTTAGGGGTATATTAGCTATTTTGCCCCACTTTTACCCCATAAATTAAGGTTTAGGGATTCCCATCCCATTTCCCTTCCCATCCCTAAAGAATTAGGGATTCCCATGGGAATTCCTATTCTTATCTAGTGGGATGGGACTCCCATATCCTATAGTAAATTTGGGATGGGAAATTAATATGGGACTCCCATATTAATTAGGGAATCCCATTTATTTTAGGGATTGGTATGGGACTCCCATGGGAATTCCCTTCCCTTCCCAACGGCCAGCCTAATTTATACTATATAGTATTTAATTTATCACACCCTGGGATCTATCTCTGCTATTCTCTACTAGTTAACTACTTTAGGAATAGGGTGATATAGTCCCTAGACTATATCTAATACTTACCTAAGGCCTATCCTCTGTGGTAGCCTACTATATACTAACCTAGGTATATAGTGTTATATAATATAATAATCTAACCAGGATCTAATATAATCTAAAGGTATAATAATCTTACCTAAGATTAAGGATAATAAGAATAATAATAGTAGAGATAGAAGTAAGGCCTATTAAGGATATATCCTTAATAGTAAAAGAGTAACTAATAAATTAGATTAGTAAACTTATACTTAAGTAAGTTATTTTTATTAAATATAAAGAACTAAACTAAGATCTCTAAATATAGTAGTAATAAGTATCCTTATATAGTTCTTTAATTATAACTCCCTTTACTACTCCTAGAGTATCTCTAGAGTAGATTATAAAGTAGATTTAATACTCCTTATCTTAGTACTACTTATCCTTTAGGGTAGTAGTTATATAAGAGGCTAGGTCTCTTTCTAGTATGCTTAACACTCCTTTCTAGATTAATTAGTAAGTATTATTCCCTTCTCTTTCTACTTGTCATATCCACCCTGCACTAGTGCGGCTGTGTTGGTGTTGTAACAGGGAATAGCACCTAGGTACTGGTACTCCTTAATTATATGGCCTAAGGCTCTGTAATATAAGCATCTCCCTTTAGTTTAATAGTAAGACCTTTTAGCTTTATTAACCTATTTTGCATGGTGATGTTGGCAGGCTAAGGTTATAGTAGTTAGTTCCTAATTCATAGGGTCAGCTGTGCTTAGAATAGTTAGTGCTAGGGGTATAGGAGTAGAAGGTATATAGGTAGGATAACTATAGTTTATAGTAATTATATTTCTTTTATACTAGTTAAAGTAGTTTATTCCCCTTATATATAGGGCTTCTACTTAATTAGCTACCTACTATACTTAGTAGTAGTAATCTATAAAGGTCTCTTCCTTCCTAATACTAATAAGTACTCCCTCTACTTTATAGCTCAGGGCACTATCTAGGTAGTTCTTTTTTACTTTATTAGACTAAGAATGGCCTCCAGCTTCTATTAGTAGTTAATTAAGATCTACTAGTAATTTACTAAATAGGTGATTACCCTAATATAGGGTTCATAGTTCCTATAGGGCCTTCTTACTCTAGCCCTGGTTAAGGAATATATGTTAGAGGCACCCAGTAAGCCTTAAAGATATATATATGGAAGCCAGGCATGTTTGACCATAGGGGTCAAACATAGTAGGTCTTTTGCCTCAGTTGGGAACTCACGCAGCCTGGCGCGGCTTCTCACAGTATGTTTTTGCCTACTATGTTTGACCCCTATGGTCAAACATGCCTGGCTTCCATATATATATCTTTAAGCCTTACTGGGTGCCTCTAACAATATAAGATAAAGCTAGTTATATAAGCTATTTAATATCACTTATATTATAGTTAGGTCATTCCTATACTAATCTATCTAGGGAGCTAGGGCTGCAGCAGCATTCCCTTTAAGTACTAAATATATACTATATATATCTATAGTAGGAGCTAATTATAGCTTAGTTAAGCCTTAGTTTTACTTATAGCTTAGAGTAAAATATCTAGTATATAGCCTTATTAGTGCTATTATATATCTCTATATTAGGTAGAACTGGTTTCAGTCTCCTTACAGGGTCATCTATAGGGGTGGCAGCTAGTATAAATATAGTAGGGATTATCTAAGGAGTTAGTATTACTACTATATTAGTAGTAGTTACCTGTTATACTTTAATTTAGGCTATTTAATTAGTAATATTCTCTAGCTATCAGGCCATCTAGGCTATGAGGTTTATTTATATATCATTTTACTACAGAGGTTATTCTTTACTAGGTCTATCTAGGGATGTTAATATCTGTAATAATATATTATTATAACTTATACTATCTGTACTGTCTGTACTGTCTATACTATCTATATTATCTGGCTAGTTTAGCTGGTTTAGCTAGTTCAGCTGGTTCAGCTATCTCTCACTGGTTTATCTATTTATCTAGCTGGTTTAGCTGGTTTAGCTATCTCTTACTGGTTTGTCTGTTCTTCTGGCTGGTTTGGCTGGTTCTATCTAGTAGTAAGCAATTTCTAATGTCACAGGCTAGAAGCCTTGAAATCTATAACCTAGATTTAGATAGTAAGAAATTACTAAGGAGTTCTAACTAGGGCCGCAATAGCCAAATATAAAAAGGAGTATGTAAATAGTGGACAAGGTCATATGACTACTAGTGTCCTTACTGGACAAGAGTTTGTTGGTGCCTGGGGCAGATCGCGAGTGCCTAGTAGGCTCAAGCATTCAGCGGGCCCTGCCTGCTACAATACTCTTAATAATAAGTTTAAAGATATTTTACCTTAGGAGATTAAGAAGTATTATATATCTACTATAGTAGAAATTACCTTTACTCTAAGTTTATAATTTAAAATATATATACTAGAAGGATTTCTATAGTTAGATTAATAGTAAAAGTTAAAATTAAACTACTATTACAAATTATATATAATTTTATATGGTAGAGGCCTAGAGGGAATAGACTTTAAATTCAGGGTTTCTACTATAAATATAGTAAGGAATCCATCTAATTAGACTAATTTGATCTATCTCCTGCTGAGCCAGCCAATCAGATTAGGTGCACGGATTCCACGCTAAACTGATATTTCTTTGTAAGGGATAATGTTGACCGTCCGCTCCAATGTGTCCATAAACGGAGCAGAGCTAGGCTATGCGACGCAGTCAGCACCACTTGCTCTATTGATGATAAGACGAGGCAACTTACACCAACATAGGCAAGATAGATGAAGTTTAGTTGCGCCGTCCCATCGAGAACCTGGGGAATGTGCACGCTGAAGTCCTGATAAGGCGGCTGGTCGGATTCATGCTGCTTCGGGTCGAAGGGACCCTGATATAAAGGTAGATCGACTGCTGGGGTACACGGGGGATTGACGCAAGGAGATATACTAGATATACTGATCTGAATAGATTCATCCCGAGACCCTGTAGGGAAATTCTTGAAAACATGTACTCAGCTGCTATCCATATGTTGGAGGCCGTTAAAATCATACCGGTCTCTGAATCTGTACCGTAACCGTATTGCCAGCCTTCAACGTCTCCCCGTCAACGGGCTTAGTGACAACGACATTTTTGGCGGACGCAGTCGCCGCAAGAAATACAAGGAAGTAAGGGACCTTCATGACGGAAAGTATGAATTCCACAGAATCTGGTGTGCTGAAGCTAAAAGCGACAATGAATTTGTTGTTTCCTGCTAGATCAGTTTGAAGCGGACGGGTTGTTGATGGTTTTTATAGTCCCAGGTCATCAACTTTTCGTATACATCCAAGCATCGAATACGCAAAAGTAAACAGGAGATCATACAATGAGTCTCAGCATATCTCACAATTTGAGGCCTCCTGCAAAGCTAGGAGAACTTTCTTTGGCATTCGATCCAATCAGATTTTGTCATCTGCCAGTGAATGTCTCAAAGCACTTTATTTAAAACGTCCTTCGTCCCGCTGACATTAGGCCCCATAAGGTATATTTATTATAGCTGAGCTGGTACAGAAAGACAGCGAGAACATTCTGGCGATCAGGACATGATGGACTGACGAATGGGAGTGACCTCATGTTGTCGGATCTTCAGCACAGATTTCCCAATTGGGACACCTGCAGTGCAAGGTACTGAAATAATAATAATGGAGCGTTCGAATCCCGCCGGATCGAATCCTTATTCCTTTCATCTTTGCGGGCATGCAGTTCAGCAAGGTCTCAGAAAAGTTTGGCAAGGTCCTAAATTATCGCCAAGAGAAAGTTCATCTATATGGATCTCATTAAATTTAAGACCTTGTTAAACTTCTCTTAGCATGTTTTAAGACCTTATTAAACTTTTATTAGGTTTGTACTTAATACTAGTTTATAATCTATACCAGGTATAATATAGTAAAATCATCATATAGTAGGGATATCAAATCACCATATAATAGAGGTATTAATACTACTATACTTATATATATTTTGATTTAACTCCCTACTATACAGTAATTTGATATCCCTACTATATGATGATTTGAATCCCTACTAGGTATCTAATAATTTTACTATATTACACCTAGTCTATATATTATAAACTAGTATTAAATATAAACATAATAAAAAGTTTAATAAGATCTTAAAACATACCAAGAGAAAGTTTAACAAGGTCTTAAATTTGATGAGATCCATATAGATGAACTTTCTCTTGGTGATAATTTAAGACCTTGCCAAACTATGTCAGAAAAGTTTAATAAGGGCTTAAGGTTGCTCTACATCCTGAGACCTTGCTGAACTGTGACCCGCATCTGTTCTCCTGCCTCGTAGCCGATCAACCCGCTCTTATTATAGACAGACACTGTTCAGTAAATTGAGCTTCCTTTCCTGCAGAACTGAAGCCTTTTTGTGTGTTGACCATGCCCCATGCTAACGTATATCTACATATATATACCTGTCGAGTGTGTCCTCTACTGAGAAGAGCAGTTGAAACAACTTGTCATATTGGAAAACCACCATGGAGATGATGGAGTCCACTGAAACTGACCTTAAGTCATGAATATCAGGATGAGCTCTGAGATAGAAGATCGTTCAGTATGCTGGGCAAACCTTGCGCCATGGCGTTGACATGACCTCCTGACAGGTCTTAGGGCTCCCAGCACCTGATACGGATCTGTGAGATGATGGGCCCCGTCTTTCATTTATATATCCCTCTCCTTTGCTCGCACACTCTGGCTTTTTCTTTGGTTGCTTCTACAAAACATTTCAGGTATCTAGGATCGGTTAGTAATACGTTAGCTTATCGAGACGGCTCGATGTGAATTCTACTCCTGCTCGTCCTCCTACTATCTTTGAATATTGGAATGCCCTTTTAAGCATTGGACAAGCTTTAGCAGAAAGAAACCAGTGCCGAGGTTGCTTCGACAAACACAATGTCTCCTAAGTGCTTCTCCCGTTATCCTAAAATGAAGGACATAGCCCTACTTAGGACATCATGGTTGCAAGTCATGAAACTTGATAAGATGCGGCGCCAAGTCGCACTCATAGATTGATCGACTTGTTTTGGTTTCTGATCCAGGGACATTATTATATCTGAAACTATGTGAATAATGAGTAGCCACAAGTCTATCAGTCTCACATACTGGACTCAATAAACCACCCCTGAACTGACCTTGCCGAGCATGGTTGAATGAGGAGGTAGGACGAAATTCTCCTTATGAGTAGGAGGTGGAATGAGCCACAGTCGGTGAACATCCTCATAGGAGTCCCTCAGAATATGCTTTCTTACTGCGGCGAGTCCTTCGCCGACCTTTTGGAAGGTTAATAGCGCTAGCCCACCTTGAATACTGGGGACGCTTCCCTGAGGTCATCGCCCATTGCGAAATAGCTACAGTCTGCGAACATAAGGAGTACCTATCTGTCCGCGCTGTGAATAAATCCCCTGACTGTCAAAGTAGCCGTATTACCTGCACCTGAATCCAGGAGAGGAAGTTTAACATAGAACATTCTTGAGGACGACATCAGCCTCGATTTCCAGGTGGGATTAAACAACGGGCTTGACAGGACTGAAAGGACCTCAGAGAGCCCAATGTTGACAAGCAAGTTTGTCAACCTACTATCTCTTTTTTATTTTTTTGAGGCTATGATAAACAGCTTGACCTTCTTATGAAAGTGGTTATGCATCGCTTACAAATTGGGGAGGTGTGTTCTATAGAACCCCACTACGAAAACGGGCAATGATATTAGCAATGATATTGCCAGGCTAACAATTCTCCTACTTTGTCCCCACTGTACTATCTTGCGTGCTGGGATCTGAGTCCAAGGCAAACTCAAGCAACGTCTTCCAAAAATTTGTCAATCACAGGAGAGAGATGTCTGTATGGCTATTCCCATGTCAATCATCGTGTCTGCCTTGTTGATGCTATGTTTCAAAGTTGCTGGTTTCATCGACTGCGGCATCCGCCGCCACCAACAGCTTCAAGATGGACACTGGTATTTTGGCCCCTTGGCATGGTTATGGAGGCTGAGTCGCAACCATGCAATCCTCCAACTTTCGAAAAGCCAACATGTTGGTTGATTATTATCAGGATAGAGGATGGTTATTGGGAATTATTGTACCGTTTTGTGTCAGCCTTGGGAATTATGGGCGATTCAGGCACCTACATAATGCTTCGGCACTGGTCTTCATGTATCCATCTATTTCCATTGTCAAAACAGAACGAGTGTTAAAGAATCGTTTACTATATCTATTCCCTTTCTTTAGAAATAAATTATGGCTGCCCTACCTTTATTCTCCCGTCTCTCCTCGCGGCGCTCAGATTCGCTCAGTGACACTACTCCAACTGAACGACGGCTTTCTGATCTTTCCAACAAGTCTCTGCATACTTGCTACGAGCCCGACCAGAAGGCTCCCGGCCGTTGGGTTACAAGCTTTAAATCAAGTCTCAACCCTACAATCGTGGGCAAGAAGAAAGCCAGGAGGAATCGTGTCCTTGTTCTCATCGTGCTTATCCTTGCACTCGCTGGTATTGCTGTACTGTAAGTATCATCCTATAAGTAAAGCCAACTCTACTGACACTTTCAGGGTGTGGTTCTCACTTGTCCTCACATTGATCGATCGACTCACACCTACTGTCCCATCGAACGGATTGCAGAGAATCCTCAAGACATGGAAAGTCCCCGCAGACTCAGTCGCCGCACTATCTCCCTGGCCGGAAGACTTCAGTCAAGGCATAACACCGGTTCAATGCCACTCTCACAACGACTATTGGCGCTCAGTGCCTTTATACGAGGCGATCGCGGCAGGATGCACAGGGGTCGAAGCAGACATTTGGCTCGAGGGCAGCGATCTGCTCGTCGGTCATCGGAAGCGCTCTCTATCCCCTGATCGTACACTGAAGAGTCTCTATATCGACCTCTTGACAACAATCCTCTCCAACTTGAATGCCAATTCATCCACCAATAGCTCAGTAGGCATATTCGACGTCGACCCCACAACAAGTCTTACTCTCCTGATCGACATCAAAACGGACGGAAATGCCACCTGGCCGGTTCTCCTTAATCAGTTGGCTCCGTTACGCTCTGGAGGATGGCTATCCCACTGGAACGGGACGAACAAAACCCTTGTCCGTGGTCCTGTAACGGTCGTGGGCACCGGAAATACCTTGTTTGACTTGGTGGTGGCAGAGGAAGATCGCTATGTCTTCTTCGACGCCCCGCTAGACGAACTTGCTCAAAACTCCGCCTACACGTCAGAAAACAGCTACTATGCCAGCGTTTCAATGAAAAAGGCCGTCGGCGTTGTATGGCCCTGGGGTCCAACAGACAGCCAAAAACAGGCCATGCAGAAGATGATCAGCGCTGCCTCGGAAAGAGGTTTGCTCTCGCGGTTCTGGAGTATCCCCTCCTGGCCAGTCAGCCTGCGAATGAGGCTATGGCAATTTCTGGTTGATAGCGGCGTTGGCATGTTGAATGTCGATGATGTAGTTGAGGCGACGAGGTGGAACTGGGACTGGTGTATTGTGGCGGGGCTAGTACTGTGTTGATCTTTGGGGGCGGGTTATCATGTACAGATGCGATAAACCTATCAATTACATGCCAAGATGTTGGGTTTATAGTTCATGTTGGTTAATCTATACGACGAGACTCTAAGCCCCATTTGCTTATGATGCCTAGGTAGAGACGGAAGATAGTCATGACCATAATCAATTTTACACAAAGTGTTCTCGACTTTTGTATTGATATGAATATAACTTCAGCAACCATATTTGCCCATGATAGCTCTGAATGAAGGGTCCTGCAGAAGCTGTGTTGCGGTCAGACGTTTCTCTGGGCAGTAAGTAAATACTCTATTCATAACGGCGTGCACGAGTTCTCGCTCAATTTGATCAGCGTCTGGACGATAGTATGCAATTGTTGATGCAAGATCATGATTTGGATCGGGCTTTTTACACTGATCATACCAGGATTCAAGGCCTCCGGGGTGAGTGTAATGGCCCCTCCAACTTTCAGGGAGTGGACCTAAAGATCTGACAATACCGGATATTATTCCACCTTTAAGCCAGGTAGGAAATGGCGTATAGCCAAGATACAGCTCTGCGAAGATGACCATGTAACTCCACATGTCGCAGGCAAAACTGGGACCTTTCCTATGAAGTCGATCCGGTGAGCAAAATTGCATAGGCGGATAGCCGCGCGGAGTCTCAGGGTCGCCAAGTTGCATTGCCAGACCAAAGTCCCCGAGATAGAATTCCTCTGTGCGGAGATTGTCAGGGACCTTAATGGGACGAACAAGCTCTCCCTGCTTCCAGAGCTCGACATATGGTATGATTCGCTTTAGCGGCCGGCCGAGGGCCTCGTATTTGGCACTTCTGTTGAGATTGTGGAGAGGAACCATCCCCCACATACAGTTTCTCTCATTTAAATCTGGCGAATGTTCATTAGAATGCGGATCTGGTAGGAGGCAGAGTTCACTTACCGCGGTGTACGATACCCGCTTGATGTAAATTTTCCAAAGCCTCTAGCAGTTGCCGAGCAGCGGACATGCGAGTGGCCATGGACATATTTCTCAGGATAACAGGGTAAAGGCAAGGGCCCATCAAGGGAAACACTAGAACCCTATGATAACAATTGTTTCCAGGCAGTAGAAAGGTCGCCAAATACATCACAAGGTGAGAAGTATCCTGTACTTTCTGGACGATTTTGTCATGCATGCGGATTTCGGTTTCTCCCCATTCGCCCGAGGACATAACCTTGAGGGCTACATCCCTCTGGTCGTGGAGGTCATGGGCCATCCAGACAGTGGAGAAGCCCCCAGACCCGATCTTATGCTCTACCAGGTATCTCTCATTGAGCACTTCTCCGACACAAATAGGATAGAAGACATGTGAATTTTCCTTCATGTCGTACTTATGCCAGGGCTCAACGACCTCTTCGAGATCGAGTTCCTCGTCTTCATTGCTCACAAAGTCGCCAAAGTCTGCCGAGTCATCGTCCTTGTCCTTGGGGTATTGCGGTGCTGATGCCGTTACATCCATAACTGGCACGCAACTTCGGGGTGGCCCAATGCCAGCCATTCTTAACGACTATATATTGATGCCAGAGGGCGTAATGTTGGGTTGATCGGGGAACAAGGCAGGCGTGTTATGCGGGTTTTGGTGGCCACAAAGCAGAAGGCCACGCAAACAGTTACATGTAGGCGTGGGAAATATAGTGCATTGGAAAGACAGAGATACAAGAGAAGTTCTGTTCCAAAGTTACATTTGTACTCTTTAGTGCACTGGTATTAATGCTTTTATCAGAATCTGAAGCTGGGTGGGAAAAGTTGTTTGCGATATGAATTTTGTCAGGTGACCTTGGGCCTTGACGCCACCTTTGTCAACTTTAACGCGTCTCCCAACAATAATAATGGCAACCTACAAGGGTTTATCCTCGGCGCCTATTAGGACTTTACCGGTTTTCACATTCAAAACACCGAGCAAGGGTTGCCTTGCAGCCTTGTTACGAGGACACCCTGCTTACTATTATTAGGTAGTGTTTGATAATTTTCTCTAAGCGCCGAGGCGATTCTCTCTACTTACGCGTATTTCTGCCTCTTGATCCTTTTCAAGGTTAACCAATCAATTGGATGATAGGTTCCCAGGTTGACACAATCATCGATTGCTAAGGTAGCTAGCCGACAAGGGCGGACCAGGATGAAAATGTCTGCGCTCATGGACTCTGTATGGGGTCTCATCAAATCTTAAGACAAATGCTTCTAGACCGTGCTTGTGCTATTCACCAAGCACAATGAGCGGCAAGCAAAACCATCTCTAGGAACAGAAAAGCTGTCCTTTGCCAATAAACTGATTGCAACCTTAGTACATGGAACAGTAACAGACCAAAGTTAGCTGATTGAACAGGTTAGTGAGTGTGATTCTTTTCAGGCACTCCCCATGAGTCTTTGTATGCCTTCCTGCCTTTAGCTCCTAAAATAGACTACATGACCTGCCTACTACTAATGTAAGGAAGAGCAGCAGTGTTTAACCATAAGGCAGCATTACATTACCCTAGGTTAGTTCAATATATATGGAATATATAAAGTGCTTCATTCTTCCTATTATCTCAACCCCCTTCTTATCTCTCACATATTCTCTGATACCATTCACCACGAACAATTCAGTCCATACATCCCAGCTACTGTTCCCTTACGCTCCATTCCTGCCATCTTCCTTTGCCACTTGCCCTGCTGCTCTTGGAGACTATTCACTTCGGCTAGTCCATGACAAAAGTTCCTAACCATGTCTTTTCCCAATCGGCTCCCCACCGGTTCCTATGAGGGCACGATTGATGGAGTTACCATCAAATGGGGCCCCAACGCAATTACCCACCTGCCGGACGATGCTAAAGTGTTCAACGTGGATCAGGCCGCCTTGAAAGGTGCCACCGAGCATATTGCTCACGCGAGTGCCAAACGACTTGGGAAAACGGGAGTTCGCATCTTGTATGCCGTTACCCATGTTATAGGACCTATCATAAATCCAGTGCCCTAACCGTCCCGTAGGGGCTCATTTCATAACACGACAACCGTCACCGCAACCGGTGAAAAACAACCAGACCAGTGTCATTGCTCAGTTTCAATGACCCCAGGCCAAGCCAAAGTCCATATTTATGTTGATCTTGGCGATGAGGCGTCACTCAACAACATGAAAGTGCTAGGAGAAAGTGTAGTCCCTCCCGGCAAATCTACCCCAGACCCAAGCCTGTCCATTGGCACCTACCCTCAGTGAAAGCTGTGTTGGAATAGGAAGGCCCTGTTTCTATATATAGTTGTAATCATTCTTAGCTTTGTGCACTTTTATTACTATTCTATACGGAAATTTTGAATATTGTATGCCTATTGACAGATTTCATGTAGCAAGGCTGAGACCGTTCTATAGATTAAAAAGTATAAGAAATCCACTCTTTGCGCTCCACTAAAGGTCCGGATTCGCGCCATGCTAGGTATCTTGCGATAATGTTGGCCTTTTGTCCTTCTGGCAACTAGCTACCAAGAGCATATAGAGTTGCATTCGGTCCAGATCAGTTCAACTTCTTAGGCACCTGGGACTGAGCCTCTGCAGTTTTAGTTCGAGATTATAGAGCTCAAAACCCACCATGACATAGGGACCCAGTGCAATTCGGTGTGGGTTTCCCAGATAAAAGTGCTACTAGGCCAGGATCGGGAGCAGTCAGCGTTCGTATTACTAGAAGTGGCAGGATGAACCATGGGAATGCATCTATCATGCCTCCTTACCATACTGTCGAATCTTAAGTCTTGTGCAGAGGTGCTACAAACTAATTTAAGCTGCACTGTCATGTTATTTATTTTATCTGGGTAATACTACTGCTATTTGTGGATGCTCTCAATGATCGGACGAGGTACCCCGCCAGAGGAGAATTCGTTCCTCGACACCAGTCCGGTTCCGTTGGAAACGTCGGCGCTGCGACCGAGTTGTCTAAGAATTCCACCATCTCTCGACAAACCAGGACTTTGCCCTTCAAGCGTGGTAGCCATGGAGGAAGCTATGTTCCTGCTAAGGGCAAAGAGACACCGAGGGGTGGCTCATGACAACGACGGTAGCACACGGTGAAGCGCAAGCAGCTTTGCGTATGCGAGACTACTTATATTACGGGATGTTTCTGATTAAGCCTCCCTTATAAAGTATTCCTTTAGTTTAGCTGGGTGACCTGATGAAAAGAGCATGCGAACAACTACAATGATGTCAACTCAGGGACACACTTCCATACAACCAACCTCCGAATGGCACATGTCGAGCCCCGGAAGCATAAAGCAATTGCAGGGGTTGTAGGTGCCCTGCTTTACTGTTATAGCTCTGTGATGTGTTACTGTCACAGGTATTCATTTTCTATCTGTAAGAGATGCCTGCGAAAATTTGAAGCAGAGACCATGACATAAGAAGGAAAAACTATTTAAAAGTATCAACACGGACAAACTCCCCCTCATAGCTGAAAACTTCCACAGCGTCAACGTCGAATGTCAGACTGATGTCGCCTTTTTCATGTGCTGTAAAGAGGCCTGTCGAGTCCGACTGCAATGCCAGAGTAATTACGCCCACGACATCATCCTTCACCGAGAATTCCAACCGACTGTCTGTTGTAGAGAAATCCGTGTTGATCTGCGACATCTCCTCAGAGTTATAGAAGACTCTGGGAACTGGCGCAAGCTGGAAAATGGCGTTTGACTTGGCAACACCGCTCAGTGAAGTGCCTTTGGGAAAGTATGCGCCAAATATGACAGATTCCGATGCACTCTTGCCTGGCACAAGGATAATCTTCGCCGGGCTGGTCATGGACAGGAAAGTGCCTACCTGCCAAATATTTATGTCCCGAGAAGAATAAAGACTCTTCTGTGCTTCGATGGGAAAGTCTTGGGGCAAGATCATTGATATCTGACTTAAGAGGGGGAGATTCGTGATCGGACCCTCTGAAGGAGGCTGTGTTTTGATTGAAGAAGTGAACAGTTCCCTCAGCAGCATCTGTGAATCTCTAACTGATGATGGGGGCTTCTCAGACGGCAAGGGTTTGAACGAGTGTAGAGGCCCCAAGACTCGGGGCAGACCTAAGAAAAGGTTTTGCTAATCCGTGTCAGCATATAGTCTTTTTGTCAAACAGAGCAGTTTGATACGCACGAGTGACCTGTCAAATGCTTGGTCAAAAGTAGCGAATGATATGCTGGTAGAATCCGTGAGAGTTCGGTCTTGAAATGAAGCCAACAGGCAGTCAATCATCAATCAATCAAGATTCTATTAACCTGATGTAGCCTATCTATTGAAGTGATTAGCTATGCAGGCGCTTCGCCAATGAAGCAGGAATCTAGTATCTAAATACCTGAAGCCTATAAAGCCCATAAATGCAGAAAAGATATAAGAAATTAGTATATAGCTATATTAAAAGTAAAATTATAACTAAAGTAGCCTGCCACTCTGCTATATATCTCCCCTACACTACCTTATACATTAAATACCTATCCCACTTTATTCTATATAGTCAGTCCTTTTCATGTATTCCCATGCCTAGGAAGACCCTCCCTAGGTAGCTACTTAATCTATCTAACTATCATCTTCTATATCTATTCCTAAGCCTTATAATAGGCTTCTATATTCTTAGTCCTGTTTACCTACCTCTATATAGCAGAACTAGCTAAGCAGGCCTATTTAGTGCATGAATTTAGTAATATAGTAGATTACCTATAGGTTAGATATAAGTATATTATAGTCTAATAGTTTCCCCTAGAGTCCCTCTATATTATATAGCTTAGTAATCATCTTCCTATAGACTTTTATATATAGTAAATACTATAGGAGAATATACTTAGGGGTCTAGGACCCCTCTCTATAGCTATACTAATCTATATTATAGGCCTTAATCTTAAAAAGGAAGTATTATAGACTAATCTATATAGTCTATATTTAGATAATAATTAATATATATAGCTTTAGTAAACCTTTATATAAGCCTAGGTTCTTCTTATAGGGGGCCTTAATTAGCTACTATATTAGCTTAGCCCCTCTCTCTATCTCTCACTATTTCTTCTAGTATTACTAGATTTATTAGTAAATAGCTTACTTAGCTACTATAATAAGCTAGATAATTAGTTATTCTAGCCCTACTAAGCTTAATTAAACCTTACTACCTTATATAGCAGCCTCCTTTACTACCTTATCTATAGCCTTATTCCCTACTATATCTATATAGTGTAGCAGAGAAACATAGTGTTAGTTCTAGCTAATTACTCATGCCTATTTCAGGGCTTAACCCTTGAGGTAGATGACTAGGATGATAATAATATTATTACTAAAAGAAGAGGAATCTTCTTCCTACTATATTATTCTTTAGAGAAAGATTATAACTACTATTTAGAAAGGAATGAATTACTTTCTATTATAATATCTCTTCTATCTAGTTAAACTTATATCTAATCTAGATATAACCTAGTTTATAACTCCTAATTATAATAAAGCTTAATCTACTTTTTAGAGTGCTATATAATATCCCTTATATATTTAGTAATCTATGCAGGATATTCTTATAGTAGTAGTAGAGAGCTATCTAAAAGAAAGTTATAAGCTAAGTATTATAAAATATAGAAAGTTTATTTAACCCTAAGAGTTAGTTAACTAGATTAGGAGAAGAGGAAGTAGGAGTATCTAAATAGAAAGAGTAGAATAATATTAAAGTTTAAAAGTATATTAAAATAGATAAGTAAATATATAATTAGTCTAAGGAGGAGAGGTAAGAGAGTAAACCTAGCCTTATATTATAGAATAAGAGTATTAGAGGAGAGAGTAATAATAATAAGAATATTAATAGAGAATAGAGAAATTTAGTACTAAGAGATTATTAAGAAAGATAAATATAGAAATAATCTAGTAARRAAAAGAGAAGAGTAAGAAARRGTAATATTAYTTYTWRTARCTCTTTATAACTAACTTTAGGAATATTATAAAAGTTATTAAATTTCTTTAAAAAAATAATAGTTTCTACTACTAATATTTTAAACCCCTATTATAATATCTATTAATATAAAGAAGATACTTAAAGATCTTACCCTATTTAGAGAGAGCTTTATAACTTCTAGCTCTAGGGTCTCTATAGGTAATCTTAGATAAGATTAGTCTTCTAGAGATATAGTTAATCTAGAAGATAATAAAGTAGCTTATTAGAAGTACCTCTTATATACTAATATATCTATTTTTAGGATAGCTAGGGCCCTATAATTTAGTAGTAATAATATAATAGATTTCTTAAGAGTTATAGATAACCTCTTTTAAAGATATTTTATCTCTAAAGATAAAGAGAAACTATTATATATACTAGATTACTATAGTAATACTATTTCTATATAGGTGATAAGTCTTCCTAAATATAACTAAGATAATTATAGTACTATAAAGTAGTTACTAAGAAAAGAATATATAAGATTAAATAAAGCTTAAAAGATTTTTAATATTTAGTAGCTTAAGAACTTTATAAGTATAAAAAGAAAGGAAACTAATATAGATAATTTTATTTATTAGTTTTATTTAATATTAGAAAGACTAGAGAAGGAAGGATATCTTAATATCTATAATTATATACTAATATTTATTTATAGTCTTCTTACTTCTATATAAGAGAAGCTATTTTAGAAGGAGGGATTTAATACTAAAAAGCTAAATTCTATAGTCTATTCTAAAGTAAAAGAGGTAGTTAAGAAATTATTTTAGATAAATATAATATTATAAAGAGTAGCTAATCTTAAGATTATAAAAAATAGTTAGACTTTATTATATAAGTTTAAGGAAGTAGACTCTAAGGAGAGTTTAATCTTAGTAAAGTCTAATAGAGAATATCTAATAAAGAAGGCTAAGATAGTAAAATTAGATTTTATTTAAGCTAGCTAAGTAGTAATAAAGAATACTAAGTTAATAAAGTTAGAAATTAATAATCTTAGTAAGTAACTTTAAGGGTTATAGTTAAATTAAATAAAACTTATAAAATATCTAAATATAAGAAATAGATTTCTATTATATATAGGCTAAGGATAAGGATATTTAAATATAAGTATTAAATAATCTAAGTTTATTCTACTTAACCTAAATTAATACTAATTCTATTTAATACTAGATAAGTATAACTAGTCATCTTATCTTACTTATTAAGAGTTTTTAAAGAATAGAGTTATTTATCTTAACTATAAAGAAAAAATCTATTAGGGATTAGCTAGAATAAAAGAGGCTCTACTATACCTATTCTAGAATAGTAAATATATAAAAGAGTAAGTTAAGGAATATTTATATATAGTTATTAGAGTAGAGTAGAGGCTAGTTAGATATAGTACTAACTTCCTATTATATAATATTAAGGATATATCTAATAGTTCTAAAGATAAGGTTTTAGATACTAGTATTAGATACTATAATTAAGTAGTAGAGATAGGCTCTAATAAGGAAGATAACTATAAATTAGTAGCTATAAAGAAGGCTTAGAATATATTTATAGAGAATACTTATATAGAAGAGGGTCTACTATTAATAAAAATAATAAGAATAGGATAGTATTATAGGACTAACTTTAAAAAGAAAGCTTAATAGAAAGAAATACTATAAGAAATCTAAAAGACTAAGAAAGAGAAGTAGAAAAGAAAGCTAAAATTAATAAATTTCTTAAAAAAAGAAGATTTTAATACTTTCTTAATTATAAATTAAATCTTAGCTAGAAAGATAGAACTATTAGTTAATAAATTAATAAAAGTATTATCTATAGTTTATAAAGCCTTCTTCTCTTTTATTAAGGAATAATAAGCATCTATAATAGTTTATAATATAGATAAATAATTTTAACCTTAGGTAAACTATATTACTACTAATATTTCTTTAGTTAAATAAGAACTAGAAGAGGAGGAGTAGATAGAAGAGGTATTATATATAGTAATAATTTTAAGAATAGCTATAATTATTAGTAAAAAAGATCTAGTCTTTAGCTTAAGAATTATAATTAATAGTAAAGCTAAGATTAATATTATATACTACTTATTTATAGCTAAATTATAACTATCTATTATATTATTAAATAATAGATTTATATAAAGTACTAATAGTAGGTTAATAAAGTTCTTTAGTATTTATAAATATATATCTATTATAATTAGAGATTTTTTATATTAAGTTTTATTCTTTATTATTAATACTCCTTTATCTAATAATTATATTTTAGGTTAGCTATTTAAATATTAAGTAAGGTTATACTATATTACTCTAAAGAATAGGTTAGTAGAAACTATTATTATATTACTAGATAGAAAATAGAAAGTATTAATTCTAGTTTTCTCCCCTTCTAATCTATAAAATAAAAATTAGAAAGGGGTGTTTAAAGATAAAGAAGGAGTTTAGATATTAGTATCTAAAGATAAGAAAAACTAAGAGCTAAAGAAATCTATAGATTAAACCTTAGTAGATAGTAAGATCTACTAAGAGGGTATAAGGTAAGTAGATTTTAATTAAAAAAGAGGTTAAGGAATTTATATCTAGATTAGATATAATTTTAGAAAGGGTTAGTTAGAAATAAAGAATTTATATCTAAGAAGGATACTACTTATAGAAGTAGAGTTAAGATAAAGGAACTTATATCTAAGATAAATAAAAATTTAAGTATTAATAAAAAAGATTAAGGAAGGTTATTTTAATTATATAATAGATAGGAACTATATAAATAGATATATAAAATAGTTATATAAATATCTTAGAAAGTAGATTATAAGATACTTTACTAATAATATTTTACTAATACTATATATAAATATAAGGCTCTAAAAGTTTAGCTAGTAAATATAGTAGTGCTTGTAGCGGGCAGGGCCCACTGAGTGCTCAAGCCTACTAGGCACTTGCGATCTGCCTCAGGCACT